TTTATTACTAAAGCAGAAAAAAGAAAAGTGGGTATAAAAAGGGTATATAAAGGTGGATATATTTAGAGGCCTTTCTAGATGGTAGCAGTAGCAGTAGGTGTCATCTCCTTTTTAAAATTACTGTTTTCACCACCGTTGCTGACAGAAGAAATGGTGGTAGAAAAAGTACCGTAATACTCTTTGCAGGGTGTTCCATTCTCCTTTTAATCTTTTGCAAAATTTCTCAGAATATCAATCCAAAAAGGGTTTCTGGGTCTTTAAAAAATGGAAAAAGTAACCTCTAGTTTCCTACAGATGAGCACAGCATCTTCCCAGAAGCGTCTTAGAATGTTGCTATTATGTCTAGTAGTATATTTCTGGGGAAGATAAATTAACTATCAGAGAATTTTGGGAGTTGGGACTCCTAGGACAAATGTAAGATACCAGTTTAGCGAATTGCCACCTAAAGAGAAGGTTAGGAATTTGGAAATTAATTTCCAGATGGATGCACCTTTGATAACAACTTTTCTTGACGTTTCAGAAACTGCATTGGACAACAGTTTGCCATGATTGAGATGAAAGTGGTTCTTGCTATGACTTTGCTTCGATTTGAATTGTCACTTGATTTGTCAAAGCCTCCACCTGTTCCAGTCCCTCTGATTGTCTTGCGTTCTGACACTGGAATTCATCTTTGTTTGAAGAAACTGGGGTGAACTTATGATAATAGAAGAAATAATTCATGTGGGGGGCAGGGAAGGGCTACTACAGAATATTCTTATCCAGCCAGGTGCCCTGCACATGTTTTGAGATCATCATTCCCAGAATACTTCTGTTGCTCTTCAAAAAATATTGAGACTTTAATCATGGTATCTGGGAATTAAAATCCTAATACCTCTGGGGACTGCTAATTTGCTGAAAATGGGAAAGAGAATGTAGAAATTATAAAATGATATTTGCCAATAATTACAGGAAACATATTTTCTCCTGCTGAAAGGTTGAATGTCCAAGATATCTGGCTTCATCTACTGTCAATTCATTCTTAGATTAACTACAACATTAACAAAAGTTGCACTCACTAATTAACCCACTTATTTTTTTAATAAGTGTTTGCATGTAGTCGTGAATTAATCCTTGTTGCCTTTTTTAGTAGATCTCCTTGTCTACAAACAGAAGTGAAATGTCAGTAGTCTTGAAATTGGTATTTCTTTCCTATTTTCTTCCTAATACATTTCTTCTAGTTTTTTTCTTTATCAGTATCACTTCTTTATTGACCTACTTATGTAAAAGATTACCTGGATGAACATAACCAAGGATGCTATGTTTTTTCCAAAACTCTAGGTGTAGTTATTTCAGATCTTTTTTTTAAAAAGTGCCATGAGTAAACAGTATGGGAAGATAAAAGATAACATCCAACTACAAGCATCTTATTATAGTTATAGACTTTGACTGCTTTCAGCAGAGAAATTACTCTTTCCTTTAGGCAAGTATTTCCTAAATTTCTCTCAACATTCAATCACTGCGGGGGAGGGGGGGTGTTCCTGCCTGTCTTGTCTGATTTTTTCCTAGGCAGTACCACTTCACCTTGATCTTCAAGGTCATTCACACATTCCATTACAATATGTTAAATACAACTTCATAGAAATTATTTATTTCCCAATGGGAAAGGCCTAAGTTTCTTCTTTTTTGGGGGGAATGTTGATGAGAAACTAAAAATTATGTAAAAATTAATAACAGGATATGGATTGTTTATGAAGATTGAATGTAATTAATATATGTATAAGCTTCCCCTTCCCCTTCAATCTGCTCTTGCTTCTGGACAATAACGAGCCATCACTAGCAGGCTGAGAAGTTCAGTTATGGCTGACAATTTGCTACACCATGATTTGACTACTACAATTCTATTGTTTTCTTTCCTAACACTATATAGGACAAGAAATGGTTGCTTCTAGTTTTGTTTTTCCATACATGATATACAATTTCCATACATATGACAAATCTAAATCTAGTCAATCTGTGCAATTCATTTATATTCAATCTATTATAATTCTTGCATTTAGAATAAATATTCCAGACCTTTAATCTTTAGTCCAGATTCAAAATGGGCCCAGTGGAGTATTTGCATTCACAGTTCTCCTTAATCTTTAAACCAAATTAGAATAAGAATCTCTGAAGTACCTCTGAAATATTCAACTTATGACAAATGTGGTGGTAGATATGGGAATCCTTTTCTTTATAAAAAAAAAAAACATTTTCTCTAATATTCAGATCTTGCCAAAGCATTTTTTCTGACTATTGTAAGCAGCAAATAGCATTCCCAAATACCAACATTAAGAATCATCATATCCCAAATGAGACACATTAAGGATCATAATATTCCAAATCAACCAACAGATAAGATATTTTAGCACATTAGGAAGAAAATCCCACAAATTGCTTTCCCAATGTGTAGGAGGAAATAAAAACAGCATGCCTCAATTGAATTATTGGTAAGACCATTCCTTCAAAAATTGTGTAGAACAAGTGGAGAGGCGCTGAGGGGTGGTGGGGATTTGCTTCTCCTGCCGATAAACAGCTGATTTTGCTGCCAAGCAAGATTCTTTGGCACCTGGCTCCCTAAATTGAATGGGAGCAGCAAGAATGACCCAAGACAACTATCAGACAACCAAGAACAGTCCTGGGAAGAGGACTCCTGGAGTTTGCAATTCCTGGCAAGAGTGATCGGAGAGTCTCAGTTTTCATCTTTCCTCTCAGCTGTTTGGTTTTTTAAGCTTACCTTGGCTTTTAACTGCATGTTTCAAAGAGATTTTTTCTTTTAATTTGATTCTTATTTTTAAAAGTTAACTGACTGGTTGAAGGCTGGTTTACTCTAATCCTATCGAATTTACTGAGGGTTTTTTTTTTGGGTGGTGGTGGGTGAACTTTCCTTTTCTGTGTGGAAGCTAAGGGCAACTTTCTGAGCAGTGATACATCTGTATCAGATTTCACGACAGGGTTTAACTCTTAAAAAGCTTTGGTCTGGATTTTTTTTTTAAATTTTTGCTGGAACGTTTCCTTTTTTTTTCTTCATATATTCATTTTGAGAAATATTTTAATGTTTTCTGGCCATTTTGTTACAGTACATGTAACCTTTTTGTCTTTGAAAGGAATTGTTCGGTTGTGTAAGCTCAGATGTAGGAGAGTCTGCTCTATATTAATAATGCAAACAATGCATCAATTTAAAGATAAAGCCTGGTGATTTGCCTTCGAAAAAAAATGTTTTTTAATCTACAAGTTCAAATTGAAAACTTTGGTTAAAAAGCTTGATAAAATTTCCTGGGTCTTAAATCAACCTAAAGAGGATATACCCAGATGCAAACAATTACAGCCAAGCCAGACTTGCAATTAGATGGACTGGAATCTAAGTCCTTGCTGATAGATTTGAAGAAAGGGCAGTTTGGCTAGAAAGCAGAAGGCTTGTTGCAGAAATTTAAAGGAGATCTGGATTTTACAGACTTAAAATTGACAGATTTGATGAGTGATGAACTGAACTCTTTTAAGAAGATAGAGTTATCATACCCGATTGGTAAACAATTTGAACTTTCTTGGCAAGAGGAATGCTGTGTTATCAAGGAGAATTATTCAACAATGGATGTTGCTGAGATATTTACAACAGAGACTTCTGAACTTTGGAAATGAGATGCAATTAGAGGGAAAGTTCCCAATGGAAAAATAAGGAAAGTTTTCACTATTAAGAACCAAATGAGAGTATTTGACCCTGGACTCCAGAGATAATGATCGGGCTGATTTGTGGTAAATAAGAAAACATTGTAGACTTTCAAGGAGTAAATTACAATAACAGATTGTTAACACAGTACTTTGAACTTTAACTTTGCTATTGTTTAATTTGTTAACTATTTTTCATATATGTAATGTATGACAGCTCAATTGGGTTGCAAATAGATGTGCAAGCTTATAAATTTTGGACCTGCTTTGCAAAAGGGGAATCTATTATTGTTGCAATAGATTTGTCAGTGTTCAACTGGGGTGGGGACAATATGTGTCTTTGTCTCTATGGAGATTCTCAGTCATCCAGGTCATAGTTGTCCCAAAGATGCTTTTTCACGAGGTAACCAGACTTTCTTGTTTTTCTTTGAAGATGTTTTGCTTCTCATCCAACAAGCTTCTTCAGCTCTCTTCAGTTTGTTTTGCCTTGTTGCTGTACTGCTGTGCAGTTGATGCTTCCTTTCATTGTTGTATTGCTCTTTTATGTTCAACTACTATACTTTCCGCAAAGACAAAGTTGTAGAAAGAAACAAAAAATATTGTGAAGCCCAATAACTCTCACCTTTTCAATTGGTCAGTCATTTGTACTTGGAGCAGCAACGGACTGGAAGAAGTGCAGTCATCTGCACAATAGCCGTGGTGGCGTGGTGGTTAAATGCAGTACTGCAGGCTAACTCACTGCTCACGCCAGGAGTTCAATTCTGAGCGACTCAAGGTTGATTAGCCTTCCATCCATCTGAGGTCGGTAAAATGAGGACCCGGATTGTTGGGGGCAATATGCTGACTCTGTAAACTGCTTAGAGAGGGCTGTAAGGCACTATGAAGCGGTATATAAGTCTAAGTGCTATTACTATTGCTATCTAAATGCATGGGGAAATCACAAGCATAGAACAATTTAAAATTAAAGGCTTGGGCTCTGCAATTAAGCTGCTGTTGGACAATTATTGCATGAAATATTAAGGTGTAACTTATTAGCAGAGCTTTCTAGGCAATATTTTACTTTCTGAGATAGGGGAACACATGACTCCATGACAGGTTATGATGCATTCATCTGACAAATAGTGAAGGATGAGTTTTTAAGAATTTACAAGTAATTAAAGTTAAAAATGAGAATAGTTTTTAGCAAAGTGGAGAGACTGATTATGATTTTAAAAAAGCTGTAGTGTGCATTATGCTCCTGGTGGTTTTGCACAGTCACAAATGGCCCATCTTTGTCTTACGGCATTCTTGGTATCAACTCCTGCAATAATTTTTCAGGATCAGTTGAGTTTCTTTAAAATGAGGTATATTCCATTTTCAGATCTGAGGACAACCTGGGAGACTGGAATCGGAGTTTTTTCTGGGTCGGGCATTAGTTCGAAGCGAAGCAGTGTCAGAGCAAGTGCTATTTTTAGTTCATTCATGGCAAATTGCTGTCCAATGCAATTCCTAACAAGAAAGAGAAACCCCTTGTGTTATACTCAACATAACAAGAGGTTGACATGCAGAACAAGGTAGGGTGGGATTTGTTTTTTCCTACCCAATTAGCTACCAGTTAGTATGCATGCAAATTAAATATAGAGTGTAATGAAAAGTGCAAACATTTATAGGTATCTTAAAAACTGAAAACATGAGGACAATGTATTGAATCAATTAAATCATGGTGTGAATGCATGAAATATTTCTCTTCAGTGAAAGCATTTAATCTATAGGGGCTGAATTTAACTGAAGTAATTAAGCAGGAAAGCACCGTAAGAAATTATAATCCAGGACTGAGTATCATATTTAAATTATACCCTGTTTTCAACCTTTGGCTGGGATTTTCCATCTTACACAGGCTTGTAAATGCAGTGTTGGATGCTAGAATACACAACCGCAGGTACAGGGTCTGTCCTTCTAACTAGGAAAACATTTTCACATTTAATTTAAAAAAACAGCTGTGTCGATTGCATAGCTTTGGGGGATGATTATTTTGCTTATGTAACATACTGGTATCTGTCTGTCATTCTTAGCTGTAAGAACATTTCATAAGATTTTTAAAAGACCACAAATCATAGGCATAGAGCAGCTATTCTCACCCTTGGCAACTTTAAGATATGTGGACTTCAACTCTCAGAATTTGCATCCAGCTGTCCAAACAAGTTGCCAAGGATGAGAAACACTGGCAGGAATGTTTATTTGTAAACAAATGGTCTAAAAAATAGATCATAGACTCACCTTGATCCAGCTGCAAAAGGAATAAATGCATGAGAATGTCTTTTAGAGGCATTCTCTGATGAAAACCTCATAGGATCAAACTCCTGGAATAAGAAAACAATGAAAATTGGGGGGAAAATAAAGTGAATCTGCTATGCTTACAACCCTTTTTTTAATTACAGTACTTGTGCTATTATAAAGCTGTTGAAGCATCTCAGAATAACTTTGCGCTTTGCTCTGAAAAATATAGTGAGTCAATACAATATCCTAAAGGTGATAAATGGGATTTCCTGCACTATAGAGTATCTTATAAAAGTCTTGATAAAGTGCGACAAATTTTATTTACAACAGTTAAGTCCCCTTTATCACTGTCATCATTTGATTAAAAAAAACCCTACTTACCAAAGGCTCTGGCCAAATGCTGGGGTTTTTATGAAGAGAATAAATGTCAACTGCAACTATAATATCTATAAAATAAAGAACCACAGTGATCAAAACATTGTCAGTAGTTGAAACAAGATCAACCAGACAGGATGAGAAGAATTCTGCAGCCAATTCTATCCAGCAAGAGAAATTTGGCATTTACATTTTTCAAAGAAAATGTTCATAGGCACTGTTAAGCAAACTGCTCACATTTTTATTAATTTATGGATCTGTTCAATGGATTTCTCTTGTGTTATGATAAGTAAGTAATCTTACATATAAAAGTATAAATACCTATACATTCAATAACTAGTTTGAAGATGAAAAAGAATTCCATATTTGACAATAGGAAGAGTGGGGATCCTGATCCCATTTAAGTATCCAAATCACTCTTAAATATATCCAATTTCATTCCAGCTGCAAGTGGGCAATAGTTTATCTTGACCTTTGGCATGACTATGAAGTTACCATTAAGAAGAGTCTAAGTATTTTGTAGAAAAGAAACCCAAATAATGTTGTATAATCAGAACCATAACTTTAGATGATGGTGAAGAATCAAAGTCAACTCCTAGTACATTCACACAGCTTCTTGGTAACAGTATAGATATGGTTTGCCACTGTCTTGTTCTAGGATGTTTTGTCAAGCTCCCAAGTTAAACTACAGCCCGAAATTTTCTAATAATCTCTCATCCAAGATTTTACTTTGCTTAGTTTTTCTAGAAATCAGGCAAAGTTGCTATGACTTGACAGTTTGTTTTGCCAACTTCCAATTAGTAATTATCTAATGCCTGAAAAATTGACTTAGGTTCTTGGAACAAAGGTATCAGAGAACTTCAATTAATTCAGATGGTTGAAGTTGAGTGTTTAATAATTCTGTTATAATGGCAATTGCTTATTCTAACTAGAGTAGCTCTTTAGATAGCTGTGTTATCAGTATAGTTTTATAGACACAGTGCAATGTTTAATTTATATAATTTCAGAATGCTTGGTGCAATTTTGAACTATTTTGGTGCGGTTTAACCAGGCAAAGATTACATTCAAGTGAATTCTAAATGTTAACTATCATGGGCTACTTTGCCTTTTACTACAGAATACAGTATGACTGTATATTAAAATTTCTTAACTGTATCTCCTAGAAGGCAAAGGGGAAGTTTGGAAGGAAAGATTTTGCCCAAATCAGAGTGTGTCAAACATTTTATCATTGTTACTGTGATTTTACCCTTTTTTCAATCGTATTTATATTCATCCAACACTGAGCAGCACAAAATGGAATGAAAGTAACATTTTTGTTTTTAAGTAAAGAAATTGCAAACCTTCAGGCAAAGTGCGTCCATCAAAGAAGGTAATAGGTTTGCTGAGCTTTCGGGACACCACTGGAACTGGAGAGTATATACGGAGACTCTCTTTTATGCACATTGTGCAATAGGTCATCTTACCAAGATCATCCCTGAAAGTTATAGAGAAAAACAATTAACCTTTCTATTAGTTAACTGCTAGGTGCTAAAGGAGGTAAATAAATAATAATGATAAAGTTGGAAGGGACCTTGGAGGTCATCTAGTCCAACCCCCTGCTCAGGCAGGAAACCCTACACCATTTCAGACAAATGGCTGTCCAGTCTCTTCTTAAAAACTTCCAGTGTTGGAGCATTCACCGCGTCTGGAGGCAGGTTGTTCCACTGGTTAATTGTTCTAACTGTCAGGAAGTTTCTCCTTAGTTCTAGGTTGCTTCTCTCTTTGGTTAGCTTCCACCCATTGCTTCTTGTTCTGCCTTCAGGCGCTTTGGAAAATAGCTTGACTCCCTCTTCTTTGTGGAGCCCCTGAGATATTGGAACACTGCTATCATGTCCCCCCTCGTCCTTCTCTTCGTTAAACTAGACATACCCAATTCCAGCAACCGTTCCTTATATGTTTTAGCCTCCAGTCCCCTAATCATCTTTGTTGCTCTTCTCTGTACTCTTTCTAGAGTCTCAACATCTTTAAATGTAGCACCACTGGTTTTGACCTACGTCATTTCCAAGTGTGGCCTTACCAAGGCATTGTAAAGTGGTATTAACACTTCACGTGATCTTGATTCTATTCCTCTGTTAATGCAGCCTAGCACTGTGTTGGCTTTTTTGGCAGCTGCAGCACACTGCTGGCTCATATTTAAATGATTGTCCACTAGGACTCCGAGATCCGAGGGTATCACCTGGAACTAAATCAAGCAATTTTATTATTTACTTACACTTAACATTGACCCCAATGTGTCATGGTATCACCTTTTTTCTTCCACCTGTGACAATTGCCTTCATCTGACCCCCAGGACATGAACAAGGCAAGCTTAATTTACCATTAACTGCAATGATGTAAAATAGTGTTGCCCCCGCCCCCTCCACCGTTGCCATTCTACACCATTCAAGGGCAGCTTCAATGTGCATAAAAGGTACTAGGTTTTGTTACCTATTACATCGGTGGAAGGTAACTGCAAGGAGTGGAAGCAGGGATTGACATGGATTGACAATGGGGACAGTGGTTTCAATTCTAGCATAGTTTTCTGCTGATTCAAGGATGGGTATATAGTGCTTCAATTCAGTAATGGGCAAAGTCTTGTAGCTTTTGATGGCTAAGGTCATAAGGCAGAGGATCAAAGTTTCAAACCAGTTTCCCCAGAATCCCTCTGAGTGCTCACATCCCACCTCTACCTTCTGTCTTGGTAGTTCCTGCTATCCTCATATATCTTCCCAGGGAGAAAGATAAGACTTACACAACCCAACCTGCCTTTCTGGGAACTATCTGGGTCAAACTAATTTCTATAATGCCACTTCTTAGAAGAATAACATAAAGCTGGAGGATTCGGTCCTTCCTTGGCATATGGACCAGTCTCACTGTAGAAAGTAAGGAAGATGACCTTGATGGAAGTATCCAAAGGTTGCTGCCCAGGGAAAAAGGGCTGAAGTATTTTATAAGTGCAGGATGTCCAGATAACATTTGGAAGAGGATCAGACACCTACCTAATTCACTGAACTATAAGGAGGAGAAGGTACAACACAATCAGACTTGCAGGATTCTGTCATTAGAAACAATCACAAAAGTGGATTTAGCTTCCTGTGTAATTGTTGAGGCTGACCTCACCACAGATAAAACAAAACAAAAAATAAAGATTAAAGATAAAAGGCATCTTTAAACTTCTGAATATTTTAAATTTTAAATTGCCAATTTTAATATGTTTCCCTAAAAGTTACATCTCACTGAATCATAACCATGTAAGTATGACTGTGTCATGTTTTGTGTTCAGGTATCATATGGTATCCAATTGTTCTCATCTTTTCTATAAATCTTGTAACTTTGGAAATAAATGATGTGGCGTATAAAATCAGTATGCAAATTGAGCTGCTGCTTAACATTTAAAAGAACTAGCAAGTGTGTAGCAAGTCTTTTATTCTCTTTCAAGAATAATAGACTAAATTCTAAGCTACTAACAGTCTTTTGGCTAGTTATTTTTTGTTCATTGAAAAATAGAATTGGAAGCTTTAATTGAGAATGAACTAGTAGATGAGTAATGTTCCTCCCTACAGCTTCCATCTCCAGCTGTTGTTCATCTATAGGTTTAAAGGAATAGAGTGCGGAAGAAATTTTCCAGTAGACAGACAGCAAGGTGCAGTATCCTTCCTAATCCTGCACAGTGGAATGGACATAATAGTGCCTCTTGTAGCATATTGCTATAGATAATGATAGCACTGATTGACAGTGATATTATAGGCAATCCTATGGGTCTAAATATAACATAAAGAACTATGGTGATGGCTGTCCTTCCCTCTGCTTCCTCTTGGATCCAAAAAAGGCAGAATATGGTGATATTAGTGAAAGGATTAAACATCCCTTCTCGCCAATTCATCCTTCTGACAGCCTCCAAGTGTTCTGATTTTTATTTGCTTAAAAATAGTTATGTAGTGTTATGCTTAAATCAAGTCACTAATGAAAAAAATCTAAAGCAAACAATATTGTATTCACCACTGGATGTCCTCCCGATCCCCCAAGAGGTCCTTGATTTCTTCTCTGCATTTCTGCTGATGTTCTGGATTCTTAGCCATTATATATAGTAGCCAAGAGAAGCCAGCAGCTGTGGTATCATGGCCTGCAAACATGAAAGTGTCCACTTCAGCACGGAGGTCTTCATCAGATAGTCCAGTTCCGTCTTCATACTGATAAACAGAGAAGAAGAATCAACAAGGACCACCTTCAATGAGCATTCATTTAAAGATTTTTTTTTTTTTTAAAAAAATGAAATTATTGACTTTGCTTGTCAGAAGATTGCAAAAGGTGATCACATGACCTGCAACCGTCACAAATACATACTAGTCGCCAAGTGTCCAGATTTTGATTACAGGATCATGGGGATGCTGCAACAGTTGTAAGGGTGAAAAATGATTATAAGTCACTTTTTTGCTGCTGTTTTTAACTTTGAATGGTCACTAAACAAATGGTTGTTAAGTCGAGGACTGCCTGTAATGGACAGTGACTGGGGATAATTATTTTAAAAATGTGAGTCTCGGGTGTATACATAATAAAACTAAAAAGGCAGATAACCGAAACCAAAAATTTTATTTAAAATTTAGCTTTCGTTATACTTTATCAAAGTATAAGCCAGGATTGGGGAGCTAATTTTTATAGTTCCTGAGAAGCTAACCACCCAGGCATGAGAGTGAGGAGAACAGTCAAACAATGACGTCAAACAATCACACGCCTCAAGACGAACGCTCCCGGTGGGCAGGGCAAGTGAGGAGAGGCAGAGCGGTAAAATTCAAACAGATGTCAGCCGGCACGACAGAAACACAACTGATACAGCTGATTGTGGGAAGGCAGGGGCCGAACAGACCCATAACGTGGTCATTGTCTAGATTTAGATTTTAGATTTTATTAGATTTATACCCCGCCCTTCTCCTGGCGGACCCAGGGCGGCTTATAGCAAGCTAAAAACAGATAAAGACCTTACAAAACACCATTTTAAAATACAATTAAAAGAAATATTAGTTTTGCCGTTTCATTTAAAATTTTATGAGCACCCAATATAAAATCAAATTAAAATCAATCTAAAATACCCCTCAGGCCAGCCCCGCTAGCTGGAATAGCCATGTCTTGAGGGCGCGGCGGAAGGAGGGGAGATCCGGAATGACCCGGATCTCTGGGGGTAGTTCGTTCCATAGGGAGGGGGCTCCAACAGAGAAGGCCCTCCCCCTGGGGGTCGCCAGCCGGCACTGT